GATTAATATGTATGAAGAAATTATTGTAATAATTTTTTGAAATATATAAAATTATTTATGATAGGTTATAATTCATCTGTGCACGGTATCTGTTGTATGTTGGTTCTTCCAAGACAACATCTGGAGCTGAGGTTGTGCCAGACTTCTAAGAAAGGAGATGGCTACAATGTTCGGCTGCATGTTGGATTTACCCCCTAGGCTTCCAGACCAGTGAGGTGGTGCCTGCTTTCAGTGTCTCTGTATAGGGGTTGACACACCATTTCCTCTGTCTTCTGCTCATTAATGTAGGGACAGGACAGATCAGTGCTTGAATTACTGGTGGGGGGGGCAGTTTGGTGTAGTGGTTAGGAGCGCGGGCTCTAATCTGGGAGAACCGGGTTTGATTCCCCACTTCTCCACATGCAGCTGCTGGTGTTAACCTTGGGTCAGTCTCAAGTTCTCTCAGAGCTGTTCTCTCAACAGCAGTTCTCGAAAGAGCTCTCTCAGCCCCACCTACCTCACAGGGTGTCTGTTGTGGAGAGGGGGAGGGAATTGTAAGCTCCTCCTCCTCCTCTTCTGTTGTTGTTGTTGTTTTGCGGTGCCTCCGTTAGCTATTATTTTTAGAAGTCTAGTGAGAGGGCAAGACTTAGCTCCCTACCTGTCTTCAAAGGTACAATAGGTGAAGCTCCTGGATTTCCGGTAAAGGCCTCTTTACATTTCTCTGTCCCCAATCCTTTGAGCGCTGGAGCAGACCCGGGGGGTGGCACTCTATTGTCACCCCTGCTGAGACATAAGAGACGCCAATGTTGGATCAGGCCAAAGGCCCATCCAGTCCAACACTCTGTGTCACACAGTGGCCAGAAATACCAGGTGCCATCAGGAGGTCCACCAGTGGGGCCAGGACATTAGAAGCCCTCCCACTGTTGACCCCCCCCCCCAAGCACCAAGATGACAGAGCATCACTTGCCCCAGAGCCCCTATCTATACCTTGTGGCTAATAGCCACTGATGGACCACTGAAGACACTTCCCACTTCTTGCCTGGCTGTGTTCCGTCTCCATCCACACGGTTTCCCGATCATTTTAATTTCAGCCTGATTGATCTCCCTCTGGATTTACAGCCTTCTCATTTAACTGCACATCAGCCCTGCAAGGGGTCAGTGAGTCAGTTTATTTAATTCAGTACATAACCAGCACATTCCAGTTAAAACAATTTTGAGAGCACAGTCGTTGGAATTTAAAACATATATAAAAATATTACACAAGAACCACCGTAGATCTAAAATACCGTGATAATAAAAATACATAAAACACAGAATACATCTAACTTCTACTTTCATCTGCTTTACTTGTTCCTTACGAATTCTATAAGCATGCGCCAAAAATCTGGCGCATGTTAGTGTGAGCTGGGGGTTAGAATCGGACAGAAACGTCTTCCATCTCTGGGTCCGGATACCCAAGGACTCTCCCTAATAAGGGTTGAATAAACTTTGCTCAGATTTCTTGGGAACAACCGCAGTGTAGCAAAATATGCTCGATCGTCAACACTTTACCCGTGCCACAATGGCAAACCTGCTCTGTCATTGGCCCCTCTGAATCCCAACCTTCCACTACTGCAGATGGAAAAATATTGCATCTGACCGTAGAAAAAGCCCTACAATAAGATGGAATTTCTAGAAGTGATAAGTTGCTGGAATAGCCACGTTTCTCGCCTTCTGAGGGGGTCAAGATTGGGACCCTGACGATATCACGAGTTGCTGGAGTAGCCACGTTTCTCGTTTTCTGAGGGGGGGTCAAGATTGGGACCCTGACGATATCGCTCTGCCTTTCGATATCAAGTATCCTTTGCTTGACTACGGCCCTTGGCTGGCCTAGGGCCATTATCTGAAGGGACTCAAAAGAAAAACCAAGCAGATATAACTTCCGATAAACCACCTTAGGCCAAGTTGAACAAAAACTGTCCCTGAGAATAAAGTAATATCAGAGGGACTATGACTTCTCCTAAGCCAGCTATTAATAGAGGTGAGGGTTACCCTACCCTCTAATCAGTCCAGTTTCCAGGTGCAGATTTGCATTAGCGGCACTATTAGGAAATTGGAATAAGGCTCTAAATCTTTATTTAAATGCAGTTTTCTCTAACAGGGCAAAGCTTGAAGTAGGTGGGCCCAACATAGTCCCATACTTGAGTTGCGGTACCGTTTTGGACAGATATAATTTAAGGGTATCCCCCCTCCCCTTTCATAGAAATGAATTTAATAATACCTTGAGCAGTTCAGACAGGTTTATGCAATAATGATTCTCATAGCTAACTTCACTGGGTCTGCTTATCTATGTAGATGCTTCCCTGCAGTGGAGAGAAGCTCCAAAATTCAGCTTTCCCAAAATCTCAGCTGGTAGTTGAACACTAAAGAAGTTGCTGATCCCCATGGTTGAAAACAGAGCCCCCTAACTGAGAGAAGAGCAGCCCCTCTGGTCTTGTAAGCAAAACTGCATTAGCAGTTTCTACCAGAGTTCAGTTCAAGGTCTTTTCCCTGACTCCTACACAGGCAACATCCTGTTCCTAAATCCATGGCTGCAATGAACTATAACAAGCATACCATAGGAGAAAACTGATGTGGCTGTGTTGTGAACTGATCTTTAGTACGCAGTTTCCCCATTCATCCACCCTCCAGTTCATTCAAGATGACCAGTTCCTCCAGCAACGCACATGTGCATTACAGACGCAATGAACATGTCCTTTGTTTTATTCTAAAATGCAAGCTTCCTTAATTTTTTTTTTAGTCAGTTAAGAATGGGAGCAGATCTCTCCCTAGGTAGAAGCGGCGCTTCCAAGGCAGCAGCATAAAGCACAGGTGATTTGTCAAGCAATTCTGTGGCCCATCAAGAGATGCCAGACCTCTTCATGTTTCTAAAAAAACCACCCGGTTCTCTTTCCTGGACCTCTCCGCCTCGAACACCAGGAGATGTGAGTTTAAGGTTTCTTCTGCTCCAGTGCAAATGAGGGACGGATTATTGTCCTGTTAAAAAAAAAAAAAAGGCAGAGTCTAAGAAAAACAGCTGAATCACACCAGTACGGCCTGTGTGTGTGTGTTAGAATGCCACAAGACAGGGGTGTCAAACATGCAGCCCAGGGGCTGGATCAGGGCTTCTATCAGGCCCGCAGTGGAAGTGGCTCTCTTCTGCTTCTTCCAGTTCTGCTGCTGCTGCTGCGTCATCGTAGGTTTGCAGCTTACAGATACACACCTAAACAGCATACTCAAGATTGCAACAGCACAGGGCTTCCGGTCTGGCTCCCGCGAATGGTGGACGCATCCTCGGGTCGCTCCCGAGGTCGTCTCGCCCGCCCGCGGTGGAGGAGGGAATCCGCGCAAGCGGAGACCCGAACGAGCCCCTCAGGAAGAGAGGAGCTCGGATCCGGGGCGCTTTAGGGCGCACTAGGGGGGAGTCTCTCTTTCCAGTTCCTCCAGCAACGCACATGTGCATTACAGACGCAATGAACATGTCCTTTGTTTTATTCTAAAATGCAAGCTTCCTTAATTTTTTTTTTAGTCAGTTAAGAATGGGAGCAGATCTCTCCCTAGGTAGAAGCGGCGCTTCCAAGGCAGCAGCATAAAGCACAGGTGATTTGTCAAGCAATTCTGTGGCCCATCAAGAGATGCCAGACCTCTTCATGTTTCTAAAAAAACCACCCGGTTCTCTTTCCTGGACCTCTCCGCCTCGAACACCAGGAGATGTGAGTTTAAGGTTTCTTCTGCTCCAGTGCAAATGAGGGACGGATTATTGTCCTGTTAAAAAAAAAAAAAAGGCAGAGTCTAAGAAAAACAGCTGAATCACACCAGTACGGCCTGTGTGTGTGTGTTAGAATGCCACAAGACAGGGGTGTCAAACATGCAGCCCAGGGGCCGGATCAGGACTTCTATCAGGCCCGCAGTGGAAGTGGCTCTCTTCTGCTTTTTCCAGTTCTGCTGCTGCTGCGTCATCATAGGTTTGCAGCTTACAGATACACACCTGAACAGCATACTCAAGATTGCAACGGCACAGACATTTTGATGCAATAATTCAGAGCAAGAGGTGTCAGTTATCAGACACTGTTAAATAAACAAAATATTGCAAGAGTGCTAATGTTTTAAGCATGTTTTTATTTTAGGTAAAAAGACAACCTCTGTGTTTGTGTCCTTTATAAAGTTTATATCTCCGCTAGCTGGCATTACATTTTATGACACACATGGCCCGGCCCAACAAGGTCTCATTTATGTCAGATCCGGCCCTCATAACAAATGAGTTTGACACCCCTGCCATAGGAGGACTGCAGACCAGAAATCAAATCCCAGCTCAGCTGTGAAGCTCAATAGGCAACACTGAGCCAGACTCTCTCTGCCTAGTCTACCTTGCAGGATTGTTGTGAGGGCAAAACGGTGCAGGGAAGAAACAAGTACATGCAAATCTTGAGCTGAACGTAGGAAACTGACCTATTCCAAGTCAGTCCTCTGGTCCCGGAAATTTTGTGTTACCTAATCTGCTAAGCAAAAGAAGGACCTTTCTCAACACTTGGTCCCGGAGAATCTTTAAGTGGAGATCAAACCCAAGTCCTCCATGCTAAGCACGTGCTCTGCCACTGAACCGCAACTCCAAAAGCTTATCAAAGAAGGAAAAACCCCTCCACTTGCTTCTAGCAAGCCAGGACATGAATTCAAAATATCTGGTGTATAAAATTACGCACAGGGTGGAGAAAGTGGATAGAGGGAGCTTTTCCTTCGGGCCACTGAATGAAAGCTGAGGGGCTGGTGGTACGAGACAGACAAAAGGAAATGCTTCTTTACTCAAGGTGCAATTGTGGGATTTGGTGTCAGTGGAATTAGTGATGGCCACACACACAGAGATGGCTTTAAAAGGGGGTTAGATTCATGCAGGAGAGGTCTATCCGTGGCTACTAGCCATGGTGACTAAACAGAACCCCTGCATACAGAGGCAGCAAACCTCTGGGAGCTAGAAGGCAACATCAGGGGAAGGCCTCGGCCTCTCCATTCTGTTGTTGGACCTCCAAAGGAACTGGTTGACCACTGTGTGAGACAGGAGGCTGCACTAGATGGACCCCTGGTCTGATCCAGCAGGGCTCCTTTGGTGTTCTTAGGAAGACCTCGGCCTCTATGTCCTGTTGTTGGACCTCCAGAGGAACTGGTTGGCCACTGTGTGAGACAGGATGCTGCACTAGATGGACCACTGGTCTGATCCAGCAGGGCTCCTCTGATGTTCTTAGGAAGACCTTGGCCTCTATGCCCTGTTGTTGGACCTCCAGAGGAACTGGTTGGCCACTGTGTGAGACAGGATGCTGCACTAGATGGACCACTGATCCAATCAAGCAGGGCTCTTATTTTGTTCTTGTCTGGCATTTACAAATGAGGGCTTGAAGTATTTCACAGGCTTTAATCCTCCCAACAGCTCTGCAAGATCCTCCCAACAGCTCTGCAAGAGTTGTAGCTGAGTTAAGTCATCAGCAACGTACTCCTAAGCATGTTTACTGAGAAGCAAGTCTTACTGAATCTAGTAGGACTTATAACAAAGTGTGTTTAGGATCATGGCCCACATCGATCCATTGTCTGGGCTGTGCCACTTTTTACAGCAGGGAGGGAGCTCATCTGACTGAATGCAACTTACCCCCCCAAAATTTACCTGGACCAAGAACAGTGCTGCTTCCTTAAAATTATGGCATTGTCCAAAGTGAATGCACATGAAACCAGCTGTTAAAATGGAATAAGGTGTGTTACCAGGGCTATTTTTGGGCAGGAACGCACAGGAACGGAGTTCCGGCTGGCTCCTGAGTTGGCCACGCCCAGCAGGAACTCATTAGCATAATAGGCCACACCTAACAGCAGGAACTCATTAGGATTGGCTACATTAGGGGTGTGTGGCCTAACATGCAAAGGAGTTCCTGCTACAAAAAAAGCCCTGGGTTTTGACAACAAACAAGGTAAACAGAATAAGAAGGGAAAGGTGGGTGTGGCTGGATGACCACACTTTTGGTAACTTTTGGTAGCCTAATGGGCTAATGAGCTGTGATGTCAGGGGTGTGGCCTAATATGCTAATGAGTTTCTGCTGTTGGGTGTGGCCTATTATGCTAATAAGTTCCTGCTAGGCTTTTTCTACAAAAAGCCCTGTGTGTTACTAAGAACACAAGAAGAGCCCTGCTGGATCGGACCAGTAGTCCATCTGGTTCAGCATCCTGCGTCACACAGAGGCCAATCAGTTCCTCTGGATGACCAGCAATGGCATAGAGGCCGAGGCCTTCCCCTGATGTGGCCTCCTGGCTCTGGGATTCAGAGGACTAGTGCCTCTGAACATGGAGGTTCCCTCCCCTCAGTCACCATGCCTTGTAGCCATTGATAAACACCCTCCACGAACCTGTCTAATCACCTTTTAAAGCTGTTTAATTCCTGTGGCCGTCACTACATCCTCTGGCAGCAAATCCCCCATTTTAATCACTCTGCATGTAAAGCAGTATTTCCTTTGTCCGTCCATTGCCAAAGCGTGTTGAAAGTCTTACAGAGTGTTGGGATTTTCACACACACACCCAAACAACTAGAGAACGAAGAAAAGAGAACTTACAGCGACAGCCGAAACAAAGCTCTTCATCAGGAAGTAATCGGCCCCACCGTGAGCGTTTAAACACCCTACGATGGAGTGGGTCCTTTCCGGCTGAAAGGTGAGTTTCTTCCTCTGGAGAAAGTCAAAAACTTTCACTGGCCCACTACCTCTGCAGGAGAGTTGTCCCTGAAGGTTGAGGGAGAAGAAACCCAGTTATTTAATACCAGTGGACTCCCTGTTCACACTGCTGGAAAGCAAGCCGGTAGAGTCCAGACTGGTGCCTTCCCCAACAAAGCACCGGCCATCTGCAGATTTTATACGTACTTGGATTAATCCCTACCAAGCATCTATTTATCAGGTACCCCTTCAGGGCTCTTTTTGTAGCAGGAGCTCCTTTGCATATGAGGACACACCCCTAACGTAGCCAATCCTCCCAAGAGCTGACAGAGCTCTTCTTACGGGGGCTACTGTAAGCTCTTGGAGGATTGGCTACATTAGGGGGTGTGTCGCCTCATATGCAAAGGAGTTCCTGCCCCTTTCAATCAATGGGTGCTTAATATAATGAATGATTGCACAGCGGAACCCTCTTTAAGCTCAGAAAAGGGGCGCTTCGTTCACCTTCGTGCCATAGATGGTGGTTTTCCGCACGCCCAGCCTCTCGGTAAAGGCGATCATTGTAAAAGCGGCCGTCGTTCCTCCTTCAAACTCCATATTTACAACCTGAAAGAAAGAGCTGAATAAGCAGTCGGCGGCAGAGGTCCACAGGTGGGCACAGGTAGGTTTATCCTGTCTCCTGTCTGAAAACTAGGCTTTTAGGAAGGAAGGGGAGCATGCTGACCTCTGAAAATGCAGTGCCCCAAATTTAAACTATGCTAGAAGCGCATGCATGTGGAACAAAAAATAAAAGTCATTTTGTGGAATACGTGTAAACTTGTGGCTGTTCCAAGCGGCGTTCCCTCTAAGCTGAGTTTAGTGTGAGCTAGCTCACAGTTTTTTAGCCTCCGGCTCACACATTTTTGCCTTAGCTCCAGAAGGACGGGCTCCAGAGCAAACTAACTTATGCCGTGGCCAAATCGCTCGCTCACAACTTTAATGCCAGGAGCTCACAAAGTAGGATTTTTGCTCACAAGACTCCACGGCTTAGAGGGAGCATTGTGTCAGATACTGTAATGTGCAAGACCAGGTGAAACCCACTGCCGGGCCTTGAGTTCAACCTGGGAGACTTGGACCCGTCACACACTCTCAGCCTGACCTAGCTCACAGGGTCATAAGGATCAGAGGAAGGAAGAACCATATTAGAAAGGAAGGACCCTGTGTTACTTGGAGGAAGGGTGGGATAAGAATGTAAATTAGATAGTGACCTCTACTGGATGCCAACTGCTGATGCAGAATAGAAGAGGTGGTTGTTCCAGCTCTCTCCTTAGCTCAGAATGGGGGGGGGGGGCAAAGTGCAAAACAAGGCCACGTACCTGGTTGCTAACCACATCATTGTCACACTCGTACACACACCTTCCGTAGGGGCCGTGGCGCAAAGCGTCGGTCAGCGCTTCGATATCGTATTTCCCGTCGCTGCACACTACCGACACAGGCCAATGAAAGCTACCCTGCAGGGAAATAAAACCTGGCTTTATTTCCCAGAGCTATGAGCCCCAGAAATTCATTGGGAATTAATGAGAAGCAGCAAGCACTCAAATATAGGCAAGTCAGTGATGATATTTCACTTAACTGTTCGCCACGTCTTGTGAAAGATGCCAAGCGCTTGTCAATCAATCAGTTCCTTTGCACTCATTGGCTGAGGAGCTGGAAGGGCAGGAGCGTGGGCGGGAAGTCATTGATTAGGATACTGCTCACAGATTAGACCTCTCTCAGTAAGGGGGTGAGATGCCCCCTAGTGGAACCGGGTGAGGCGTGGCCTAATTCTGCCATCACATTGGGGAAGCCGGGCTGGTTCACCATGGGCAGAGCTCACCGAGGGCTAGAAACTTCTCTTCTTGGCTTTCATTTAAAGAGGGGGGGGGGTTGGAACCAGGGTTCCCTCTAAGCTGAGTTAGTGTGAGCTAGCTCACAGTTTTTTAGCCTCCGGCTCACACATTTTTCTTTTAGCTCAGGAAAAGGGTGGCTCCAGAGCAAACTAATTTATGCAGTAGCAAATCACTTGCTCACAACTTTAATGCCAGTCGCTCACAAAGTAGAATTTTTGCTCACAAGACTCCACAGCTTAGAAGGAATATTGGTTGGAACATCCTGGGGGGGCAGCTCACTTAACCTGCTGCTGCCAAACCCCCCCCCCCAACGGATATGGCTCTTCTTGTTTTTAATATTTATTTTAGGATAAGGCTCTTCTTCATAGTCACCTGTTCGGCCACCTTCAGATAAACCTTCTGAGCAGAATACGGACAGTTTTGCTCAACAGGACAGTCCAAACAGCGACTGGCGGCTCCTTGGGGCTACGACGAAATAGAGGAGAAGTCACTGCTGAGAACACTGTGCTGCTTGGCATCCAGTCTGAATAATTCTCCAGCTCTTTCCCCCCCACACATACACACACACACACACCCCTCTGTGTACTTAGAAGGGGAGACGACACAGAACCCCATTTAATTGAAGAATAACCCTGGTTAGGCGTTACACTGTTAAGCAGGGCTCTTTTTGTAGAAAAAGCCCAGCAGGAACTCATTAGCATAATAGGCCACACCCAGCAGCAGGAACTCATTAGCATATTAGTCCACACCCCTGACCGCACAGCTCATTAGCACATTAGGCCGCACCCCCATGTTACCAGAAGTGTGGTCATCCAGCCACACCCACCTTTCCCTTCTTATTCTGTTTACCTTGTTTGTTGTCAACACCCAGGGCTTTTTTGTAGCAGGAACTCCTTTGCATGTTAGGCCACACACCCCTAATGTAGCCAATCCTACTGAGTGTCTGCTGTTGGGTGTGGCCTATTATGCTAATGAGTTCCTGCTGGGCGTGGCCAACTTGGGAGCCAGCCGGAACTCCGTTCCTGTGCGTTCCTGCCCAAAAATTGCCATGCTGTTAAGTCTCCCCCAACGTTGGATCCAGAGATTTCACCCAATGCCTTCAAGCCCGTTTTCACAACCACTGGGGTCAGGAACCTGACCAGATGAAATCTGCCAGGCTACCGCATACCATGTTTGTAGGGAAGGAGAGGAAGAAGAGTTGGTTTTTAGACCCCGCTCTTCACTAACCAAAGGAGTCTCAGAGCAGCTTACAATCGCCTTCCCTTCCTCTCCCCAGAGCCAGAGAATGCCCACAGCTTGGCCTCCGAGTTATTCATAGGCAAGCAGGGAACTCCGGCATACCTTGTGGTCTTTTGTGAAATGGGAGAGGCTGCCAAAAGAGGAAATTTTCAAGCATCTGAAAAGGAGAGAGGCAATTTGGTGTTAAAATGGTAGCAAAGGGCACACACGCGAAGCAGGAACACATGAAGCTGCCTTATACTGAATCAGAACCCTGATGGATAGCCCAGGCTAGCCCGATCTCATCAGATCTTGGAAGCTAAGTGGGGTCGGCCCTGGCTAGTATTTGGATGGGTGACATCCAAGGAGTACTTGGGGCGTGACGTAGAGCCAGGCAATGGCAAACCACCTCTGAAATGTCTCTTGCCTTTAAAACGTCTAGCTCAGCACCTAGTGGTGCATAATGATAAAAGAGCTAGAACTTCTGGCTGATAAAAGAGCTAGAACTTCCGGCTGATAAAAGAGCTAGAACTTCCGGCTGATAAAAGAGCTAGAACTTCCGGCTGATAAAAGAGCTAGAACTTCCGGCTGATAAAAGAGCTAGAACTTCCGGCTGATAAAAGAACTAGAACTTCCGGCTGATAGAAGAGCTAGAACTTCTCCTGGCAATACTATACTCGGATATGATTAGTAGTAGTAGTAGTATTACTGGCGATACTATACTCAGATATGATTAGTAGTAGTAGTAGTATTACTGAATTAGACCCTTGGTCCATCACTGTTGGAGCTGCGGTGGCTCAAGTGGTTAAGACGCTGAACTGCAGGCTGTGGAAGGTCAGTAGTTCAGCAGTTCGAGACCCGGGTTGCCGCATGACGGAGTGAGCTCCCGTCTCTAGTTCCAGCTCCTGCCAACCTAGCAGTTCGAAAGCAAGAAATTGCAAGGAGATAAATAGGTACCACTTCGGTGGGAAGGTTAACAGCGTTCCGTGCGCCTTGGTGTTTAGTCATGCCGGCCACATGACCACGGAAACGTCTTCAGACAGCGCTGGCTCTTCGGCTTGGAAACGGAGATGAGCACCGCAACCCTAGAGTCGGATTCGACTGGCTGTCGAGCAAGGGAAACCTTTACCTTTACCTTTTTACCATCACTGTCAGTCCCCAGGGTCTCAGGCTGAGATCTTTTGCATCACCTACCGCCTCGTCCTTTCAGCTGGAGACCTCAGGGACTGGGACAGCAATCCTAAGCAGTTCTACTCAGAATCCTACTCAGGTTTATTCCATGTGGTTTACTCCCAGGAAAGAGGTTTTAGGATTGTGCTGCCAATCTGGGACCTTCTACATACAAAGTAGATGCTCTTCCCCTGAGCCTCAGCCACTCCCCCAACGGAGCAGATCACGGCAGAACATTAGAGGCCATTCCAAATGAATTAGTACCCATGGCAGAATGTCTCTACCTGGTACATCATAAGGATGAACAGCATTCATCTCCCACCTTTCCGTGCCGAGGAAAATTCAAGGGGGTCTCACTTATTTTGCATATGATTCTGCTATTTTCTTATTACTGAACGTACGTACGAGGCTGCCTTATACCAAGTCAGACAATGGCTCCACCAAGGCCGGTATTGTCTGCTCAGACTGGCAGCGGCTCTCCGGGGTCTCGGGCGGAGGTCTTTCCCATCACAAACTGCCTGGTCCTTTTCACTGGAGATGCTGCTGGGGATTGAACTTGGGACCGCCTGTACGCTAAAAGCAGATGCTCTGCCACTGAGCCACGGCCCCCTTCGTGTGTGCTGTTTCCTCCTCCAGTTCCATAACTCCCACTTGCACAAGGCTCTCTGACTCCCTCAAACAACTGTGCTCTTTGTCCCGTACCATCCCTTATGCCTGGAAGTGTGTGTCTGCATGACGGCTCCTCTCCTGCTTCCTTCAAATGCCCCCTTGCTTTTTTTTCTCTGTGCCTAAATAATTCTCTTGTGTTCACAAACCTTTTCTGTGACCGTGGCTCCTCCATTGTTACCACTTTCCTATAGATACCCCACTATGAACTTTCCTATTAAAGGGAATAGGGCATTTTACTATAATTTCTTACAAGCTCCAGATGTTGGAGATGGAGATTTTACCATGAGTCTGTGTTTTTTATATATATATATATATATATATCTTTCATAAGCTGCTTTGATCTTATTGTGAAAAGAGCATCCCAAAGATATATTCTTAAAATAAAAGATGGCCAACGTTACCTTTTGCCGCCCATCCAAAAATTAATGAGATCAATGTCGTGGCAGGATTTGGCCAGCAAGGAAAAGGAACTCTCGGCTTCATTCCTCCAGTTTCCTCGCACGAAGGAGTGTGCGAAATGCCAGAAGCCAACCTGAACACAAAAGGACGGTGACCCGATCACAAGGGACACAAGTGAAATGGAAAGCGGGAAGCCCAAAGTTGACTTCTCGAAGGGTAAACCTTCTGCCTGACATCCCATAACTGCAGACCTAACTCAGTCATAGAAACACAGAGTCGGCAGCGGCCAGACAGGGCATCTAGTCCACCCCCCTGCTCAGTGCAGGATCAGCCTAGAGCAGTGGTGGCGAACCTATGGCACGGGGTTCTCTGGGCACACATGCCATCACCCCAGCCAGGCCCAGACCGTCATTAAAGTGTCAAATTCTCTGCCAAATAATTTTAAGTAAATGAAAGCATTTGGGACTGCTTTCCTTACTTTGTTTGGATGATCTTAAATTAATGTATGAGTTGTTTTTCTAAAGTAAAACCTCAGTCTTCAGGTTAAATTGCCGTGTTGGCACTTTGCGATAAATAAGTGGGTTTTGGGTCGCAGTTTGGGCACGCGGTCTCTAAAAGGTTCGCCATCACTGGCCTAGAGCATCCCTGACAAGCGTTTGTCCAGTTGCTGCTTAAAGACTGCCAGCGAGGGGGAGCTCACCACCTCCCTGATTCCACCGTTGCACAACTCTTGACTGTAAAAAAGAAGAGATTGGACTTATACCCTGCCCTTCACTACCCGAAGGAGTCTCAGAGCAGTTTACAATCTCCTTTCCCTTCCCCTCCCCACAACAGACACCCTGTGAGGTAGGTGGGGCTGAGAGAGCTCTTTCGAGAACTGCTCGAGAGAGAACAGCTATGAAAGAATGTGTAACTGACCCAAGGTCACACCAGCAGCTGCATGTGGAAGAGTGGGGAATCAAACCCGGCTCTCCCAGATTAGAGTCCACGCTCCTAACCACTATACCGAACTGGCTCTCTAATATCCCTAATATCTAGCCGGCCCGGTACCTTCCCACCCTCAATTTAAACCCATTATTGTGAGTCCTCTCCTCTGCTGCTAACAGGAACAGCTCCCTGCCCTCCTCTGACAGTCCTTCAAATACTTCAAGAGAGCAAGCACATACCCCCCCCCAAACTCCTCTTCTCCAGACTAAACATTCCTAAGTCCCTCCACGTTTCCTCATAGGGCTTGGTCTCCAGGCCCCCAATCACCCTCGTCGCTCTCTGCACCCGCTCCATTCTGTCCACATCCCTATCCACCATGTCATACCAGCCACCAGCCCTTTGAAAATTCCCACAGCCTTAAAAGGCAAACGGTGCTTTTCCCAACCCCTATATAAAGGTAGGGAGAGTTTCCCTCCTGTTTCTTACAGGCTCCAGGTGCTGGATGTGGCAGATGTCTCCGATTAACCCAGCATCCAGCAGTTCCTGAAAAAAAGGGCCGAGAGAACAAAGATAGTTACGTTTATTTTATTTATTTACATCTGTTCCCTCCCCCCCATCTTCCTCCCAAATGGGGACCCAAAGTAGCTTCCATTGTTTTCATTTCCTCTGTTTTATCCTCAACACAACCCTGTGATGTAGTTTAGGCTTAAGAGTGTGTGACCAGTCCTAGGTCACCCAGCAAACTTCCATTACGGAGTGAACCAGGTCTCTCAAATCTGCCTGACACTCTTAACCACTACACCGTCCTTTTTGTTCATTTAAGGAGTTACATGCCACACTGTCTGCCATAGACGCAAAAGAGAGAAACAATGAGTTCTGCAGCCCCAATGCTCATTCGTCCCGACTTGCTAGCTGCACGTATCACCCCTTTATTGCAAAAAAAAAAAAAAAATGCCATATAATGTATACACATCGAAGAATCCAGCAGTTTTTCAGATGCAGGAGCTGAATAAGCCAGATGCAGGGTTCTAAAATTTTGCTTTAAAAGCACAGGATATTATTAATGGAAGCTCAGCAAGAGTACCTTTATTTTCAGGGACACTGGATGGTATCTCAGGACATGGCACACCGTAAGGATGCAGTTGTAGGTTTTACAGGCCAGGACAATTTCTTTGCAGTCCTCTGGGGTCACCTGATCATTCAATACAAACAAATGATTGGGTCAGCCGTTTTGAACAGAGAGTGGCCAGACAGATGCCTCCAGGAAAGGCCCCTCCAATGGGCCCAATTTATTGGTTGGTTGGTTGGTTTGACATGGGAGAACATTTAAATATGTGTTTCTCCCGACTTCATGCAGAAGTGATAACCAGGCAGGAAACTGATCAGGAACAAAATCACAAGTTATGCCAAGAAAAATGGCAGAAAAACTAATTGTTCTGGGGATAGATGGGGACAAGAAGGGGACCTGCAGGTACCAGCTGGATATTAGGAAAAACATATTTTACAGCCAGAGTTGTGCAACAGTGGAATGGACTGCCTAGGGAGGTGGTGAGCTCCCCCACCCTGGCAGTCTTCAAGCGGCGGCCAGAGAAACACTTGTCAGGGATGCTCTAGGCTAAGCCAGTATGGCCCCTTCCAACTCTGTGATTCTATGATCCTACTTTGGAGTGGAGGAGAAATCCCATCCTTCTCGCTCCACCTACACATACTGATCCCTTTTATTTTATTCTCCCTGCCTTCCAATGGGGCCAGCCACGTCCTCCTGCTGGCCAGTTGATGGGGTGTGCTTGCTAAAAGTGATTCCTGCATGCTTTAAGCAATAAGATCTGCCCCCCCTGCCACCACTGCCAGCCTGCAACGTTGTACTACATTGTCTAGCAACCCGCCCCCCCATGACAGCCAAGATCTTGTGATATAGCATCACGAGATACTAGTATTTCTTTTTTGTGAGAGTTGTGATGTCTGCGCAGACACTACATTTACAGGGGGCTTTTTGGGCGGGGGAGGTTAACCCCCCCCAATTTCTAATTTTTTTTTTATTTTTCTGTAATCCTGAGGTTTCCCCCCAGATTTTCAGAAACAGATCCTGAACTCCTGAATGGCTCCCACTGTGCAGATCTTTTTATCTGTATTCCAGGACCACGTTCATCATCAGACGCTTGGAAAATGATTGGACCACTAGGTAGGGTTGCATTGCAGGCCACATTCTTTATGGCAGAGCTATGTGCGCTATGTGTTTTCGTGTAGGTTGGACGTTACGGCTTTGCCTTAGACCTTCTGCTCTGCTTGTTACTGTGAATTGTGGACATATGTGCTCTGGTCATTAAAATGAAAAAGAAAGTCAGACGCCCAAATCGCTTCCACACCACTCCATTTCCCATCGCCAACATTTCTACAACACGCTCCCCTCCCCAACAATGTTTTCAGCAGCCTACCTCCCCACAATTCATCATTGGTAACATATCAACACCCTCCAACATACATTTGTTTTCATTCCACCTTCCCTTCAAGGAGCTCAGGATGTCCTACACACGGTTCTCCCCTCCTGTATTTTATCCCACAACAAGCCTATCAAGTAAGCTGGGCTGAGAAACCTTCACTGGCCAAGGTCACTTGAGTGAGCTTCGTAGGGAATTTAACCCGGATCCTCTCTGACACAGACCAACAGGTTAACCACCACACCACACGGACTCCCACCATTCTGGCTATTGTCTCAGTTCCGCTTACAAAACTTTCCCTGCTCGGTCACCTGGACTGCACATTCATATTCACCATAGGCGATCAAGTTGTTTACAAAACCTGGCTCACCGTTTCCCTTTCTGGAAATGAAGACTCTTCCAGTACTTACTGCCATGGGCTTCTCCAGCAAAATGTGATATCCTTTCTGGGCAAAAGCCACTGCTGGTGCCTGTTGAGAGGGGAAACAGATGGCCACAAATGACTGGATGGCTGAAGACCGTCTCTCCGAATCAAATCACTGCCATCAAGTTGCAGTCAACTCATGGAGACCCCATGAAGTTCCACCTCTCCAATCAAACCACTGCCATCAAGTCGCAGTCAACTCGTGGAGACCCCATGAAGTTCCACCTCACGGGGCTTTCAAGGCCAGAGATGAGCAGAGGAGGTCTGCCATGGCCTCCCTCTGCATAGCAACCCCGGTCTTCCTTGGTGGTCTCCCATCCAAGTACTAAGGAGGGCTGAACCGGCTTAGCTTGCAAGCTCTGAAGAGATCAAGTTAGCCTGGCCTATTAGGGCTGCTAGAAGCCTGTCTCTTCGTGAAAGGAAAGGACACTCGGTGCCCAGGTTCTATTTCTTCCTTCTTTATAATGGGCTGGATGAAAGGAAAGGATTCTCGGTGCCCAGGTTCGAGAGACCTGCCTTCTCTATTTCTTCCTTCTTTATAATGGGCTGGGTGGTGTGAATCAGTTCTGCCAACAGTGGAACCATAAACCACTGCAAAGCCCTCCCCCCAAGCTGGAAGAGGGGCCAGGCATTAGCGGAATGGATTCATAGACACAACACCTTGTGCCCTTAACCTATTTGTATGCCACGTTCACCAAGGAACTTCAGAGGCCGTTGTTAACAACAGTAATGCGCAATACAGCGAAAGACACTAAATCTAAAATGAAATAAACGTCAGATTGGACTCCAGTTAGTTTCGAGTCCCAGGAGGACCTTAGATAGCAGCAAGGGTTTTAGGGTATGCAAGAAGGGGGACCCGTGATACTCGCGGTGGGCAGCTCCACGTGGAGGAAAAGGAGGAAGCAGCTGCAGGTAAGCCCCCCCCCCCCGGCACCAACGGCAAGGCCCGTGCAGCTCCCACCAAGCCTGCCAAACCTCCCCCCCTTCCCCCGGCACCAACGGCGAGGCCCTTGTGGCTCCCACCGGGGCACCTCTGGCGGTGAGGCCTGAGTGGCTTGCAGCCACCAGGCCTCGCCGATCTCCTTCTTCCCGTTCCCCCTGGCTCCGGCAGTCTCCTCCGCCGATCTCCTCCCCGCCGCAGCGAGGCCTGAGCGGCTTCCAACCACCAGCCCACTGCAGAGTTCCCAGAGCGTTCCCTGTGCATGCGCAGGGAACGCTCCTTTACTTTTGGGGGGGATTTAAATATCCCCCATATACTTTTTTCAACATTTTAGATTTTTCTGCACACCTGGAGACTACTCCAAATGTGCGGGGAAACCTCCCTGCCCCCCAGGCACCCCCAATGTGCGGATTTAGATATCCACATGGAGGGGGCAACTTGGCTATTAGATATATAGATAAACGTTTGAGAACCGAAGTTCCCTTCATCAGACACAAGTAGAAACAGAGACCCCAGAGTCCTTTTATTCTAGTCAGACGGCAATAGGGACGTTGTGAAGAAAACTTGTAAAGGATGCCCTAATCAGCAGGATTAGAGCAGAGAGCAAAAGCTTGGGGGCTTGACGGTGTGCCTAGCACCTTCGCATCCTTGGGTAGTAGAAAGTGCCATCAAGTCACAGCTGACTTAGGGCGACCCTGAGAAGTCTATCTAAAACACAAAAGGCTCTGCATCTTCCAATAGCACTACAGGTAAGATTAGAATTTCACCAGCCTACCCATATGTATGGCTGCGAGAGTTGGACCATAAGGAAGGCTGAGCACCGAAGAATAGATTATTTTGAACTATGGTGCTGTAGAAGACTCTTGGGAGCCGCTTGGACTGCAAAACCCTGACTGCTCCCTGGAAGGCCAGATACTGAAGCTGAAGCTCATATACTTTGGCCACCAAATGAAAAGGGAGCACTCTTTGGAGAAGACCCTGATGCTGGGAAAGACTGAAGGTCAAAGAAGATGGGGACGGCAAAGGATGAGATTGTTAGACAGTGTCATAGATGCAACGAACATGAAGTTGAGCAAACTTCAGAGGACGGCGGAAGACCGGAAGGCCTGGCGTGATCTGGTCCATGGGGTCCTGAAGAGTCGGAGTCGACTGTGCGACTGAACAACAACAAATTCATATGCAAAAGAACCTCCTCAGGAAAGCTCCTCCATTAGCACGTTTCACAGCCTGGGGGACTCCTGCAAGATAATGACTCAGCCCTACCCCACCTTCCTGAGTAGGGATAAATTACCTGCCTACCATTTTGCTTCTCACCTTGACACAGAGAGTACTCCATCTTTCTGTGTTCTGCCTCTGAGGATGCCAGTCACAGCCGCTGGTGAAACTTCAGGTCCTACAATGCCAAGACCACGGCCACACAGCCCGGAAAATCCACAACAACTAATCTATCTAATGGGTTTGATGAGTTGATCTTTTTAACATGGGAGAACATTTAAATATATCGTCCTCCCAACTTCACACTGAAGTGATCTCTCACAGGGTCACCTTACGTCAGCTGTAACTTGATGGGAAACATATATTTGCCCTCAAGTTACGGCTGACTTATGGCGACCTTGTGGGGTTTTCAAGGCAAGAGACGTTCAGAGGTGGCCTGCCTCCACGTCACAACCCTGGACTTCCTTGGTGGTCTCCCATCCAAATACTCGCCAGGGCCGACCCCGCTTAGCTTCGGAGATCTGATGAGACTGGGCTACCCTGGGCTATCCAGGTCCTTTACAAGCATTCTTTACAACGCCTCTCCCACCTTCTGACTAGAATAAAAGGACTCACAGATCTCCATTTCTCCTCATGTCTGACAAAGGGAGATTGGACTCTCGAAAGGCTGTATCACGAAATTCTTGTTGCTCTCCAAGGTGCTAAAGGTAAAGGTTTCCCTTGCTCGAAAGCCAGTCGAATCCGACTCTAGGGGGCGGTGCTGATCTCCGTTTCCAAGCTGAAGAACCAGCGCTGTCCGAAGACGTCTCCATGGTCACGTGGCCGGCATGACTAGACGCCGAGGCGCACGGAACGCTGTTACCTTCCCACCGAAGCTGTACCTATTTATCTACTTGCCATTTCTTGCTTTCGGACTGCCAGGTTGGCAGGAGCTGGGGCCAGAGACAGGAGCTCACTCCGTCGTGTGGCACTCGGGTCTCGAACTGCCGAACTACAGACTGCAGCTCAGCATCTTAACCGTCTAGCTGTTCTGCTGCAGACCAACGTGGCTACCCTCAGAGACTCAGTGTCCAGCCGCAGTAAATTATGTTAGAGATCAGAGGGAAAAGTCACTGAAATAAGAGCAGTGACGTTTCAAAAGCAGCGGTGTCCAGACAGCATCTAACAGCGATCCCTTAAAAAAAAAAAATTGCAAGCAAAGCCCTTCAAAGAACTGTTAGAAGAATTACGAAATCCAGAAAAGTAAAGGGGGGGAAGAAGAAATGGATGGCTTCAAGAGGGAATTAGATAAACATATGGAGCAGAGGTCCATCAGTGGCTACTAGCCATAAGGTATAGATAGGAACTCTCAGTCTGGGGCAAGTGATGCTCTGTATTCTTGGTGCTTGGGGGTGGGGGGGCAACAGTGGGAGGGCTTCTAGTGTCCTGGCCCGACTGGTGGACCTCCTGATGGCACCTGGCATTTTTGGCCACTGTGTGACACAGAGTGTTGGACTGGATGGGCCATTGGCCTGATCCAACAATTGCCTTCTCTTCTGTTCTTATACATATGGAGCAGAGGTCCATCAGTGGCTATTAGCCACAAGGTATAGACAGGAACTCTCAGTCTAGGGCAAGTGATGCTCTGTATTCTTGGTGCTTGGGGGAGGGCAACAGTGTGAGGGCTTCTAGTGTCCTGGCCCCACTGCTGGACCGCCTGATGGCACCTGGTATTTTTGGCCACTGTGTGACACAGACTGGATGGGCCATTGGCCAGATCCAACATTGGCTTCTCTTGTGTTCTTAGAAGACACCTGGTGAAGAGATCTAGGCGATGCGTTTTGATTCAATCCAAGCCATGAGTGGGTGGCATTGGAGGTACCTTATGAAGCCTGTCAGGGGTTGCTATGATAACGGCATCTGCAAACTTCTCTCTCTCAGCCGCGGCTTTCCAATCTGAAAGGAACAAGATCGAAAATTAGCCCCGGAATAGGCCAAGGAACACAACTCCCACAGTTTTCTTTTTGAAATTAAATATTGTTTTTAGTTTCTCAAAGAAGTGGGAGAAAATCTAGATTCATCACAAGTAAAATCAGATATATTATTAGGTGTAATGCATATTTCAAACAGAGCAGTAGACAATAAAACATCAATATCACAGTGTTTTGGGATAGGTTCTCTCTTAACAAGAATAAACAAGGACTTTCCTAATGTTAGTGACAATCTATTAACAATAAGAGACTGCATCTTTAACAGTTGAACAAGCTGCTCCCGCTGTTTTCGATCACACGGCATGCATTCCTTGCTAGTTTTAATTCGGAGAAACCCATAATCTGTCTGGGCATTTGCATGTTTGGGAAGTGTGTATTTGTCACTAACAGATGTTCGCACAACTGGAAAAATCTAGGTTCCCAAGATGAACACGCATGTAAGCACATGAAACTGCCGCATACTGAACCAGACCTGACATTCAGTTCTTCTTGAACACACCTGAAACTGCGTCATACTGAATCACACCCTTGGACCATCAAGGTCAGTAGTGTCTACTCAGACTGGCAGTGGCTCTCCAGGGTCTCAGCCAGAAGTCTTTCACATCACCTACTGCCCAGTCCTTGCCGGGGATTAAACCTGGGACCTCCTGCATGCAAAGCAGAGGCTCTGCCACTGAGTCACGGCCCCTCCCCAAGCCAGAGTATTATCATCATCATCATCATCATCATCATCATCATCATCATTATCGTTATTATTAAATTTTATATCCCACCCTCTCCAACGGGCTCAGGGCGGCTAACAATAAGGGCACAAAGCCATGATAAAACAGTTAAAAGCAGGATAAAACAATACAAAATTACAATAAAGTGCTGGTGCTCTGAAAGTTCATCGTTTCAAGATGGTTCTGGAAGATGGACCCAGTACAACGAAGCAGGTTCCAGGACGATGCTGCCTTCTGATCTTCGGCCCAGGGCCATCATGCACCCCAATGGCATCCCCGCTCTTTGCGGTAGCGGTGCAGTGGTGGTACAGTGGCAGCGGCGGCTTCTACTCGAAAGCCTTCATCTCAAAACGCCAGCTCCACACGCCCAGTAAGAAACCTTACCATCAAATACGTTGTCCTCATCAACGTGATGAGCCTCCTGCAGCTCTTTCCTTGCACAAGCCCGAGGGTCTGCAACGCCAATCACCTGGGGGTGGGGAGAGGAATAAAGCAGGGCTGCACTTTGCACAATAGTCATGGCAACTAAAGAGGAGAACATCAGAAACCCCTTGCTGGATAGGAACAAGGGTCCATCTAGTTAGCATCCTGTTTGCCACAGTGACCTGGCCTCCACCCCTATCCACAAGCTACTATTGCTCTCCGCCCAAGCATCTGGCACACAGTGGTACACTGCCTTTGAACATGGAGGTTCTGCTTAGCCCTCACAGTGGTCGTAGATCTATCCTCCTCCATGAATTTGTCTGGCCCCTGTTTAAAGCCAAGGATCAAGAACCTAAAAAGGTAAGTCAAACTGAGTAGAGGGCCAACAATTAAAGCTTAGTATATATAATATATAAAAATACATGTATTTATTTGTAAAGAGTTAAAAAAATATAGGGGCCCAATTACACCTCATATAAAAATTCCAAAATCATATATACTCGCAAGGGCCGATGGACTTGACTTGACGTGGCATTCTGGCCCATTTAGGCCTTCTTCAGAGGCCAAACACAAAGAAGAACAAATTGGCTTATACCATAATACACAATACAATACAATTATACAGCATGGATACAAAATGAACTGGAAAAGAATTGCTGTAAAAAACATTTTAAAACATGTGAAATCAAATACATATAATAAAATGAATAAACAATCCCTATATTATACTAAAAAACATATTGACTCACTTCCAAAGTGAAATTGCTAGACATAGAATAAAATAAAACATTTCCTTTTTGGTTTTTCTAACATGGCAACCCAATGGAATGAGTAAAAAATGGGTGATTTCCAACAACGAACAGCTATGGGTTTTTTTAAGTAATTATTTTTTTAATCATTCCCATTTTTCAAGGAGCCCAGGACAATAAATAGCTTTTTGTGCTGAGGCACCACAAAGTCTGACCAAAGGTCACAGCCCCTGAACAGAAAAGCAGGAAGGCTGGGCCTTCTGTGCTCCAGTGGATTAAAACGGGGAGAATGAAAAAGGCTGTAAAACTGAGAGGAAGGAAAGGGAAAATGTTTTAAGACCCCGAGTCAGATCACTGATCCATCTAGCTGAGCACCATCTTGCCAGACTGGAAACAGCTCTCCAGGGTCGCAGGCAGCGGAAGATCTTCCTTAGTCTCTGCAACCTGAGATGCCAGGGACCAAAACTGGGCTCTTTGGCATGTGCTCTGCCAGGGAGCCAAAATAGGGTCGCAGGCAGCGAAAGATCTTCCTTAGTCTCCGTGACTTGAGATGTCAGGGATTGAAACTGAGGTTTTTGGCATGTGCTCTGCCAGGGAGCCAAAAGCCCTTCTCTGAATTTAAGGAGAAAGGCATTGTCAGAACAGGAGAGAAAATAGACCTTGTTTCTCTCTAAGCATTCATATTATTTATTAAAATATTTATACCCTGCTTTTTCCCCCAATGGGGGATCCTGAGCAGCTAACAACATGATCTTCCCCCTGCACTTTATCCTCCTGACAACTACCCTGTGAGGTAGGCTAGGCTGAGAGGGACTGGTCCAAGGTCACCCAGCAAGCGGCCATAGCACAGAGGGATTCAAACCCGGGTCAGCCAGATCCAAACACCACACTCTAACCACACTATGAGGATTAGGTTAATAAAGCAGCCAAGTCTTAAGACTGCGCATTGTAGTTCCAAAGGTCACAGTGGTGTACCTTAACTGAACCTTCTTTATTCAGCCAGCCAGAAGTTTAAAATGGACTCTGAGCTCAACTGAATGAGGAAGTCTGTAGCCTCAAGAAGTGGGGGGAGGAAAATGCTCTAGCAGCTTGGTTTCCTCCTTCCAGGCCCTGGTCTTCAATTCCCAGGTTTCATTTTTTAAAAATTATTAAACTTCTAGACCTTTTTTTACAGAGATATAAGGGGAAATGTACAGGCATTCTATTCAGTTACTTAATCATTGGATACTTTTTCCTGCCTTTCTAGTGTTCTGGCCAACGAACGTCAAAACATTACAATGACTGATAAGCACTCGACAATGATCTTTCACTAGCAGAAAAACTAGTTGAGTTCCTTAGAAGAATTTAAGAAGTAAAAGTCGTAGACGTCTTGCACTTGTTCCTGCACTGACTTTCAATGTGCAAACACAGTTCACCATGGAATTGAAAACTAATATTCCTGGCAAATATCTGAAGATGGTGATCGGGCACCTGACAAGTAGTTCATTACCACAGCACCAGCCTGGCATTCAACAGCTTCCAGTTTCTCAAGAACGTAGCTTGTTTGCCTTTGCCACATCATACAAGCACCTGCTTTGGTTTGAGTCAAGCCTCGTTTTAAAGGATAAGCCTGTTGAGCATGAAGAGGTCTAGTGCATACACACAGGGCCGGCTCACTCACTAGGCGAACTAGGCGATTGCCTAGAGCGGGACGGCCCTTAGGGGCACCAAACTGCACCCGGCCCCGTACTCTGGGAGTTTCCTGATTATTTGTATTTTTCATTCTTCCTAAAATGCATTTATTTTTGAAAATTGGTGGCTGCAAGGGGGGGGGCGCGAAGGGACCCTTGCCTAGGGTGCAAAATTAGCTGGAGCCGGCCCTGCATACACAAATCCATCATGTGTACCTGCATGTACAGAGGAAGCTTACCTTCATGCGTTCAGGAAAATACAATGCATAATTGGAATAGTTCTTTCCCCGGCTCCCGGCTCCGATAATCAAAACAGTGATTTGGCGAGGCATTCTTCCAGGGTCTTCCGCCTTGGTCTGGAAATGAAAGAATGCTTTTAGAACCTGCATGGAAACAGCCACTCCTCTGGTTCTCCTCTCAGCAGGGCATGGCCCCATTTTGCACTGTACGCCACACTATTCTGTTGGCTGGACGAGCATCCGAAACTGAATTCCCTTGTGCTGGTTTCTCCCTTTCAAAATTGGGAAAGGAGCAGGAAGTGGCAGGTAAAACAATCAGGAAGGCATTATAAGAGCAGTCCTGCTTGATCAGACCAATGGTCCATCTAGGCCAGCATCCCGTTTTGCACAAGTACCTGCAAGCAGGTACAGATCCATGAATTTGCCTAACCAGCTCCCTCTGTAGGGTAACCAGAACTATACATAGTATTCCAAAATCCAGCCACACTGCTGATCTTTGTTGGTTGGTTGAAAATGCCGTCAAGTCGCAGTCAACTTACGGCAATCTTGTAGGGTTTTCAAGGCAAGTGACATTCAGAGGCGGTTTGCCGTTGCCTGGCTCTGCATAGCGACCTTGGACTTCCTTGGGGGGGGGGGGGGTTTTTCCCATCCAACCAAGGGCGAGCCTGCTTAACAAGATCAGGCTAGCCTGGGCTATCCAGGTCAGGCCTTACACTGCCGATCTACACAAGGGTATCCCAGTATCGATCATTTTGTTTTCAATCCCTTTCCCATAATCACGAGCATAAAATGTGCCCTTTTCACTACCGCTGCACCAAACTGACTGTATGACTGTGCTATTCACCACGGCTCCAAGATCTCATTCTGGGGCAGCCACCATGAGTTCAGAGCCCATCTTTCCAACTGCAAAGTTAAGATTCCCCCCCCCCATGTGCATCCATTTACAGTTACGCTGAACCACTTGCCACAGCTAAGGCATGGATTCCCCACCCCTTCAGCCAGACTGCCTTGTGCATCTCCATTCTAGCAGAGGAACACCAGGGTGTGAAAAATCTCATCTACAAGCTTGTCTACCTCTCTTGCCATTTTCAGGTCAGCAACCTTCACCTCAACGGCAGGAACTCCATTCCTGACAACCTGAAGCTCATTGCCCTGACCTCAAACCCACAACTTCTGCCCGAAAGACAGACAGCCCTACACATGAAACTCCCTGCTATACACTGTCTAGCCCAAATTCTCCTGACAGCTTTCTACTTTCACTTCTGGGTTGGTATTTCAAAGCTGTAAGCTATGGTGTTGACATGAAAAAAAGCAGTTATTCTGCAAAGAAAGGAAAAACTGTGTCATGCTCTGGTTTCCTTATCCTGCTGCTTGAACTTGTGTGAGGCCTGGATTCTCTTACCGGTTCCAGGTTTCTTGGCACCGGAGCCGAGAGGCTTCGAAGGGCGGGCTCTCTGTGGCTTGCAGAGGATTGGTGTGCTTTCCCTGCAAGAAAAGTGTTAAAGGGGATTTTTTAATTGGGGGGGAGGCTGAGTCAGGGGGTATAATAAAAACACACCTGGTGTGGAGATAGTAGAGACAGAGAAACTTTTACGGCTACTCCATGAAAATGTCTACCAGAATAAAAAATGTGTTAGCCTTTTAAGGTATCGGCAGGGCCACTGCTTATTTATACTAGATTGAGTTATCGGCAGTTCTGTGCTTATCTTGTACACACTGGAACTTGTTTATAGAAAAGTTCACAGCTTGCCTGTCTATCTCCAATGTTTGTATATAAAGACTTAGCAGCTGCACAATAATGTTGGCATTCAAAGTACGTCACAGACACCATCACATTAACATTTACAACAATGCTGTAAGGTAGGACAGTCTTATTATCCCCATATTGAATATAGGACCATAAGAAGAGCCCTGCTGGATCAGACCAATGGTCCATCTAGTCCAGCATCCTGCCTCACACAGGGGCCAACCAGTTCCTCTGGAGGGCCAACAACAGGGCACAGAGACTGAGGCCTTCCCCTGATGTTGCCTCCTGGCTCTGGGATTCAGAGATTTAGTGCCTTTGACTGTGGAGGTTCCCCTCAGTCACCATGGCATAAGATGGAAGGACAGAGGCCGAGAGAAAGGCCGGTTCCAAGTCAAACAATGAGACTGTAACTACACCTGTTCCTAAACTCTGCATATATTCTAACTATCATTGGCATACACACACAAAAAACCCCTTTATTGGCATGAAAGCACAAAACATCATGGAAATACAGGAAAATACTAAGATGCATCAGTCACTTATACTTGGCTATCCAAGCCTCGTCTTCTGAATGCATAATATAAAAATTTTGCAACAGCCTCCATTATTTCGCAATTAGAATTAAACAAAACAATTGAGTCATCAGAGTGCCAGCTCTTACCCTCTAGAAGTGGAGTAATAAAACGAGATCGGATATCCCTATAAAGGGGGCAATGAAGTGTGGTGTGTGTAGTGGATTCTATATCTTTTAGAGAGCAAGGGCAAAGTCTGTCTACATATGGTATCTGGCGGTACCTCCCTAAAAGCACCACTGATGGCAGAACATTAAAGCGTGCAAGCATGTATGCTCTGCGACGATGTGGGACATCCAATCTCTGCTCTTTTTAAAGACCCTGATCTCACACATATGTGCGCGCACACATACACACACACACACATCCCCTGTGTTGTCATTAATAATTCCACAGTGCTGAAAGGTGGGGCTAAAACTGAAATAGGATCCTTATGGACAGTTCTGTTCCTCCCAGCAATACAAACCTAAGGGAGTGCATGAAGAACCATGCCTTGAAACTCTTATTCCCAAACTAGAGTTGCCAACCTCAAGGTGCTGGCTGGAGCACTCCCACTATTACCACCGATCTCCAGGTGACAGAGATCAGTTCACCTGGAGAAAATGGCTACTTTGGCATTACATCCCATTGAAGTCCCTCCCCTCCCCAAACTTTGCCCTCCTCAGGCTCCACCCCCAAAATCTCCAGGGATTTCCCAACTCAGAACTGGCAACCCTACTCCAAACCCAACGAAATGACATCCCCAGGCTGCTTTTTGCTTGGAGGGGAGGCTCAAAGATACTCGTTTCTGAGTAAACATACCCAGTATTCTGTTTCAGGTGGACAGACGTGTTGGTCAGCAGTAGAAGAGCAAGATTCAGCTCTAGTTTAAAGAGCAACAAGATTTCCAGGACAACGTTTGAGTCCAGTGGCACCTTTAAGACCAACAAAGGATACCTAGAATAAAACTTTCTTCTGCTGCTTCAGACCAATGCGATGCTTCTGCATGGAGACAGAGTGATATAGAAAATGTATGGAATGTTCCCTCTTGAATTTTGATACAGAACAGATTGGAATTTTGGTTCTTCTCTGAAAAAGCTTCAGCGCGAAACGAGAGAGCCGTTAGCGAGCATGCTCCTTAGAGAATCTTCAAGATCTTCTCATTTGGAACCACCCTTCTGGAGCAACAATTTGTACACTTATTGGACTTTTTGCACCATTCCTTTGTTATTTACACAATTGTGAATGTAGGTTTATGCTGTCCTTGCTGTCATAGGAATTACCATTAGACATATGGTTTGTTTCTCCATTCTTTATTTAGCATATCGATTTCTATTTTGTTATAATATTTGGTACACAGTTTTTGTTATTTTTTTTCTGGCTTCGGACCAACACAGCTACCCCCTAAGATTTCCAGGACATACGCTTTCAAGAGTCAACGCTTGATCCTTGCATCTGACAAAGAAAACTGCCGACTCTCGAAAGCTTATACCTTGGAAATCACGCTGGTCTTTAAGGTGCTGCTGGAATCGAACCCACGATTGTGTTGTTTTACCTCCAGCAACCTAGCATACAGCTTCCCTGCTAAAATACATCGAGAGAACAACAAGAAACGCAGGAAATAAAAAGTTGGGGGGGGACCTCTACTTTTTATTCTCAGCCTCCCTATATAAAAAGGCCCCCCCCCCCCCCCTCTCTCCCTACACCTACAAACGGGGATTCTCAAACAGACGCTTATCGAACGCAGAGAGACTCACCTGACGCAGCACCTCCCATTGGGACAACAGTGTTGACCTGGGAGAACCCAGCTGTCAGCCACGCCCCCTTCCTGCCTTGTCATTGGTCGCGAGATGTCCCAAGAACGGCGCTGCCCAAAGCCCAATCACTGAGTGCCGGATGCAGCAGTGAAGGGGAATCCTATTGGCTGAAAAGATCTTAGCCGGCGGGGGAGGAGGAACAGGGGCGGGGTCGCTATCATTGATTAGCTCTGCGTTTGGAATGTTGAAGAGAGAGAGAGTTCATTCATACTCCTGTTATTTGATAGGTTTGGGGCTTCCTCGGAGGGATGCGGACCGGTGTACTATAGCCCGATGATTATCTCGTTATATCTCGGGAGCTAAGCAGGGTCGGCCATGGTTAGTATTTGGATGGGAGACCCCCAGGAAGACTAGGGTCTCTATGCAGAGGCAAGCAATGGGAAACCACCCTCAGTCTCAGCGTCTCTTGCCTTGAAAACCCTGCAGGGTCACCCTAACCGGGCTGCGACTTGACGGTGTTTCCCAAGTAGAGTTGGTGCTTGGATGGGAGACCTCCAAGGAAGACAGTGGCCAACCACTCCTGCTTCCCACTTGCCTTGAAAGCCCGTTTCTGGGGGGTCGCCATAATTTGAGGCGACTTGAGGCACTTAATCATAGAGCCGGAAGGGATCATCTAATTCAACCCCCTGTAGGATGCAGAAAATTCACAAATACTCTCCACAGACACACACCCAGTCACCCCTGTTCTACCCAGAAGAGGGTAAAAAAAACCCCTCCAGTATCTCCAGCCAAACTGGCCTGGAGAAATATTGCTTCCTGACCCCATAGTGGCGATCAGCATTTCCCTGGGCATGTAAGAAAGGGCCACGGGAAGGAAGCACTGATGCGACCGTTCCTGCCCTCCCTCTCATGATCTGCCTAAGTTCACAGAAGCAGCATTGCTGTCCGATGGCCATCCAGCCTCTGCTTAAAAACCTCCAAAGAAGGAGAGCCCACCACCTCTCGAGGAAGCCTGTTCCACTGAGGAACTGCTCTGTCGGGAAGTTCTTCCTAATGTTTAGCCGAAAACGCTTCTGATATAATTCAAACCTGTTGGTTCTGGTCCGACCTTCTGAGGCAGCAGAAAACAACTCCACACCATCCTCTGTATGACAGCCCTTGAAGTACTTGCAGATGGTTATCATGCTTGAAGATGGTTGTCGTACGTAGGTACACATGCATTTTCGGAAGTCACTGGACACATTTTGAAACCGAGAGCTCACCAATTTGTGCAAACCAGCTGTGTGGGATTGGGAGTGTGTATTGTACATTTTCCAAAGTCCTATAATGGCAAGCCAGTGAAAACCTCATTAGAAATGACTTTCCCCAAGAAAGTATTGTATTGCAAAGGGGATTGTTCAGTCTTCCTTCAAGGAAGAAGGGCTGTGGCTCAGTGGTAGAACAACTGATTGACACGCAGAAGGTCCCAGGTTCAGTCTCCAACATCTTCAGCTAAAAGGATCATGTCGGAAGTGATGTGGGAAATCTTAGTCTTCAAAAAGAGTTGGGTTTTATATCTCACTTTTCTCTACCCGAAGGAGTCTCAGAGTGGCTTACAATCGCCTTCCCTTCCTCTCCCCACAACAGACATCCTGTGAGGTAGGTGGGGCTGAGAGAGCTCTGAGAGAACTGTGACTGACCCAAGGTCACCCAGCTGGCTGCGAGTGGAGGAGTGGGGAATCAAACCTGGTCCTCCAGATTAGAGTCTGCCACTCTTAACCACTACGCCACACTGGCTCTCTCTTGAGACCCTGAAAAGCCTCTTCCAGTCCGACGGGCCAATGTCTAGGGCTGCCAACTGTAACCTGGAAACTTCCTGGAGATTTGTGGGTGGTGCTTGGGGACAGCATCAGTGGGGGATATGATGCTGTAGACTCCGCCCTCCAAAGACTCTTTTTGCCTGCTAGATTTGACACCAGTGAGTTGTGAATTTGCTAAGAGGCCTTGGACTCCACTTAATACAAAATAGCATTTTGATATGTGCAGGGGTCATTTCCTGCAGGAGTGCACAGGAGTGGAGCTCCAGCAGTAAAGAGCCCAGGGGGCGGGCACATGCAACAAGCCCCACCCCCTGCTCCCAGCAGCCCTCAGTCAGAGCAAGAAGCAGCCACGTAAGCTGCAAAGCCCCGGCCCCCGGGTCTAAAACAGTCCAGTGGCACCTTTAAGACCAAGTTTTATTCAGGTACAAGCTCTCCCTCCTTTGCGAGGACAGATCTGCACGTCCCGTCCCCCCAATAGCTAGCAATCCAAAACAGCCCAGTGGAGCCTGAGCGGTGGGTGTTGCCTTCTGACACACTTCCGGTGATGTCAGGGGTGTGTGTGGCATATGCTAATGAGGTATGCTAATGAGCTCCTGCACCTCTTTTTCTACGAAATGACTCCTGGATATGTGCATGGTCATTGTAACTACCTTGACTCACTATACCCTTTGATGAAGGATTGTCTTCTCTTCGCAACGGTCTTAATATTATGTATGATACCGTCGGGGTATACGGGACAGTATTTTCTCTATGGACTGTTATTGCCCCTAAGGAGGGCTTGTGCTTGTGGACTATTTTGGATTGTATTTACTTTAAGAATCATCATTCTGTGGTTTGTGTGACTATGATGTGCATTACATTCTTCTGAAGTGCTGTATGTGTTTACAGAAAGGGGCCGCGGTGGCTCAGAAGTTAAGACACTTCGCTGAAAACCGGAAGGTCGGTAGCTCAGCAGTTCCAGACCCAAGTGCCGCATGACAGAGTGAGCTCCCGTCTCTGGCCCCAGCTCCTGCCAACCTAGCAGTTCGAAAGCAAGAAATTGCAAGTAGATAAATAGGTACTGCTTTGGTGGGAAGGTAACAGCGCTCCATGCGCCTCAGCGTCTAGTCATGCCGGCCACATGACCACGGAAACATCTTCGGACAGTGCTGGCTCTTTGGCTTTGAAACGGAGATGAGCACCGCAACCCTAGAGTCAGATTCGACTAGCTTTCGAGCAAGGAAACCTTATATATTCAATATATTCCTATGAGTAACATTACTTGTCTTAAACCCTTTTTGGGAGAGTTCCCACCTTTGTAGATTTACACTCTCCCTTCCCGGTTAATTTTGTGCTGTCTGGGGCTCAGTCAATTGGCTTCCAGTGGCAGCGGGGGCTACTGTCCCCCTTGCACAGGTGACCACCCCTTGCTTTGCCCTGGTAGGGGGGCAGCGGTGCAGGTTCGCCAGCTCTGGGTTGGGGAATACCTGGAGATTTTATGGGCGGAGCCTGGGGAAGGTGGGATTTGGGGAGGGGAGGGGTCTCAGCAGGGCAGAATGTCATGGAGTCCACCTTCCAAAGCAGCCATTTTCTCCAGTGGAAATTGATCTTGGTTGTCTAGAGATTGGTTGTCATAGGAGGACATTTCCAGGTGCCAGGGCTATTTTTGGGCCGGAACGCACAGGAATGGCATTCCGGCTGGCTCCTGAGTTGGCCACGCCCAGCAGGAACTCATTAGCATAATAGGCCACACCCAACAGCAGAAACGCATTAGGATTGGCTACATTAGGGGTGTGTGGCCTAACATGCAAAGGAGTTCCTGCTACAAAAAAAGCCCTAGGTGTTGACAACAAACAAGGTAAACAGAATAAGAAAGGAAAGGTGGGTGTGGCTGGATGACCACACTTCTGGTAACATGGGGGTGTGGCCTAATGTGCTAATGAGCGGTGCTGTCAGGGTGTGGCCTAATATGCTAGTGAGTTCCTGCTGTTGTTTGTGGCCTATTATGCTAATGAGTTCCTGCTGGGCTTTTTCTACAAAAAGAGCCCTGCCAGGTGCTACCTGGAGGATGGCAACTCTAGCAGCAGGGGTGGCAGTGATTCTGGGGCTCTATCCTGGACTTTCGTCCCAGGCCTTAAGTATCACTAAAACTGCCCCTGGGCACTGCCGTGACCACACAGTTCCTTCCTCCAGGGCTGTTTGAACATCCCCGTTGGCTCCTGATCAGGGGAGGCAGCGTGACCCACAGGGTCTCTCGAGCAAGGTTATTGCCACCTATGGAGTATTGTCTAAATCTGAAATTCTCTGTTCTCGCACTTTATCTGAATATTGTTCAGGGGTCATTTCCTGCAGGAGCGCACAGGAGCGAAGCTCCGGCAGTAAAGAGCCTAGGGGGCGGGCACATGCAACAAGCCCCGCCCCCTGCTCCCAGCAGCCCTCAGTCAGAGCAAGAAGCAGCCAGGTAAGCTGCAGAGCCCCCTCTGGCCCCCTGGTCCACAACAGTCCAGTGGCACCTTTAAGACCAAGTTTTATTCAGGTACAAGCTCTCCTTCTCTGCAAGGCCAGATCTGCTGCCCCCCCCCCCCCTAGCAATCCAAACAATCCAGTGGAGCCTGAGCGGTGGGTGTTGCCTTCTGACACACTTCCGGTGATGTCAGGGGGTGTGGCATATGCAAATAAGTTATGCTAATGAGTTATGCTAATGAGCTCCTGCACCTCTTTTTTTACGAAATGACCCCTGATACTGTTCCAGCATTTTAGGATAGCTGACATGTTTATGGTTTATGGGTTTGGGTTGTTTTTAATGATGGATTTTAACTGTATTTATATATGCATTTTATGGAAGCCACCCTGAGCCCGCCTTGGCGGGGAGAGTGGGGTATAAATTGAATGAATGAATGAATGAATAAATAAATAAATAAAGGTCCCTCCCCCGCATACACTTCAGTTAAAAGACTCCAAAGCATCTGTGTCTGATTTTTATTCTGTTTCACGTCTTCGTGACCCTTCCTCCTTCTTCCTCCGTCTCTTGCGTGGCGTGGCGCTCTGGTGGCAAACAACATGGCTTGTGACATGGGGTGTTCCCCCCCCCCCAGCTCTGCATCATGCGCTCAGCAACAGCGGCTGCTGCTCTTCGGCCAGTTCCTCGCCCGGGGAGATCTCGTAGACGACGCAGAGGGAGGAGTACAAGCAGCCGACGAAGGACACCAGGCTGGCAAAGTACATCACCCCGTTGGCGCTGCCCACCATGGACGTCAA